TTTGTTTTCCAAATTAGAAGGATGAATGGGCTGCAGGGGTCATACGTGACTCGCATCCTGGAGGGAGTCCAGGTCTCCCAGGTTTCCTGGAACCCAGTCTCCTGACCCTAGGTCCACCCAAGATTCCCGCCATAAGGAGAAGCCTGCTTCCTGCTACACTGACTGACAAATGCTTGGCAAGAATGGCATGTGCTTTTGGTACTGCACAGAGAGGAGTGTTCAGATGGGCAATGTTAGTGCCCGCTAGGCATGGCTGACGTGAACGCTGAGTGGAGTGAGCCTAGGGTTACAGGTGGGTACCACTAAGCAGGACCAAAGATAAAACAGCCAAGGCCCCCAGGGAGGAGGGCACCCTGTCCTTGGCTCCTGTTGCAGAAGGATGGGTCTTTGGTAGGGCACACCATCCCTTCTGCTCAATACACAGATCCCAACTCTGCCTGTAGCCACACCCTTATTCATGAATTTTAGCAAGGGGGTTTCTCCAATGGGGCATCTACTTGGTGGAGAGGGGTTTGTCTTATGCCATGTTTAATGGGCGCCTGCAAGCAGCCCGCCCCACCTCTTTTTAAAGATTCGTGCAGGTACTCAGGCCTGAAGGAACTCTGATTTGCCTGGAGCTGGAGGTACAGATGGCTGAGGGCAGTGTGATGAGGGCGCTGGGAACTGAACTTGGGTCCTGTGCAAGAGCAGCACAGGGAGGGTGTGAGAGTAAACCCGACCTTTACGTTATGGTTTCAGCTGACATCGAGACAGGTGCTTTTCACCGTCAGATAAAATACCTAAACTACATGTATAACTTTGCCTCACGGGGTCCCTTAGGCCCAGGCAGTGGGAACCTGGAGACTGAGACTGTGAACATTGTCCACTTGTTGACAATTCACATCAAAGGACAGTGGGCTCTGGCCCCTTTAGATCACAGGGGTGTCTTCCCTTGCAAAGGGACAAGAGAGCTAGCTGTGCTGGGAGGCCCAGGTCTGTCAGGGACTATCACCAGCCCTTGTGTGTGTGCCCAGTATGGAGTTTGGATTTGCCAATGTCACTTTAGCTCCTATGCTGATTGTAATGTTCATATGCTTCAATAGGTGGAACCGTTTGGGAAGGGTTAGGGGGTGTGGCCTCGATGGAGGAAGGTGTGTCATTGGGGGTGAGCTTTGAGCTTTCAAAAGCCCACACCATTCCCAGTTAGCTCTCATTACCTCTCTCTCTGCCTCATCGTCGTCGTGTCTCAAGCTGTGAGCTCTCAGCTTCTGCTCTAGCACCTGCCTGCCTACTGGTTGCCATGCTACCCACCATAATGGTCACGGACTCACCCTCTGAAACTGTAAGCCCAATAACCTCCTTCTTCTATAAGCTGCCTTGGGCATGGCGCCTTGTCACAGCAGTAGCTAAGACGGCTGCATTAACACACTCAGCAGTTAGGCATGCTTCCTTCTGCCAATCTGTCCCTCTACCGACAAGTGACTTGCCATGAAGTCCTTAGGCTGAATTTTAGTGACTGATTCAGAACTCCACAGACCCGACTCTGCTTGAGAGGCCCGTGGGACACAGTGATGACCCAGTGTGGGTTCCTCTGCCTGTCTCCGTACAGGTTCGAACACAGAAATGGACCTTTGCAGATAATAGTAGGACTCTGGGCCACTTCTGAGTCTGGTTGACCCTTGGGTACAAGGGTCATCTGCAGTGCGAGGTGGGCTACATTCAGGCCATTCAGGCACTCACTCTGTTGACTGTGACAGAGGGCTCCCAATCCCTCTTCCCTTTACCAAGCCCCCTTCCTTTATCCACAGATCAGAAGTTCTTCTCTATGTCAAAATGGCTAATGGCTGCCAGAGTGTCCCTGTGCTCCCTCAGCTGGTGAGTCCATCACAGCAACCTGGAAGCATATTGTCATTACACGGGGCCTGTTTTTTTTTTTTTTTTTTTTACATGTTTCCTGACTCCGAGGCACTTTGTCAGAAACGACTGCTGCAGAGCCAAACACTGGGGGCGAGCCCCACTCACTTGGCATTCAGATCTTTTCCGCTTAGGCTAGCAAGGGGGCTGGCTGGAGAATCACACCACTAACAGGCCCTGGGCCCTGCTCCACAGGCGTCTGAGAAGTCGAAGCTGCCATTCCTGCATTCAATTTTAGCATCTTGGGCGAGTGTTTAATTGTGAAGAAAGGAACAAAGCGTTAACCCTGGGTGCTACAGGATGTGCACCAGGTGTCTACCTGGCTGTCAAGGCTAAGTAGCCCTGATGGGCAAGGGATCCACACATTCTGGGCTCGTCTACCATCGCCCCTCTCATATGATCTGTGAGTAGAGGTCCTGGAGCAGATAGCTCAGCACACGGTCTGTGGAACTTACCACAACCACAATACCTACCTGGGAGGGGCACTGTGAGGATCAAACGAGACAACGTGGTCCAGGGGCCAGAGAGGCACTCAAGTCAAAGGGGCTGCAGGGGGACCGCAGGGCTCCAGGCACAGCCTAGTCTGTCTTACAATGTGTGTCCCCAGGAGGGTCCCACAACTTCCTAGCCACACTCACGCTCCTACCTAGAGCTGGGTTTACTAGTTGGTTCCCCCTCCCAATTAATAAACCTACTTTTTGTGTCTGGTGCCAACTGTGTTTTGGTATTTTCTGGGAATCTGTAGAGGAGCACTTTAAGAAATACTCCATGTTGAGATGGATACCTTTCGAATGACCTGACAAAACGTCAAGTCTTTATCACACACATTTTCAAGAGCGGTCCGTTTACAGCCAGCGGTCATGCAATAATACCATACATTAAAAAGCCTGGCATCAGAAAACTTATTTTGAGAATTTATGGAATGGTATGAATTCTGTAACAAATCATTGAAAGTTGTATGGAATGAGTTGTATGTATATACGTATCAATGAGGAAGGCCGTGTTGCTCAACTGAAATAACTGTAGCCATACTTTGAGCAGCTCACTGTGGCTAGAGATAGGGGAGAACCAGAAGGGTGGTCACTGCCTGCACCCAAACCCTATGGCTACTTGGGTCTCAATCCTCACGGCTGCCTGCACCCCAATCCCCATGGTTACCTCACTCATGTGGAGGGACCCCAAGCTACTGAGGTTGCAGAGAGCACTGGACTTCATCTGGTCATCTTCTGCCCTCTATCACCTCTAAGTGGCCTCCTGCTCTGAAGCTCTGGCTGCCTTGGATGCCAAGTCTCCTGTTACCTGAGCATCGAAGACTAAGAAGCCAGCCTTCCAGTGACTCCTGAAACAGAGACTGTCACACCAGCCCACCAATGACTCCTGAGAGGCTCTCCAGCAGGTGATGGGTAGGAAGGTTTTAGCCTCGAGGCTAACGAGAGAACTGTATGCCTTCTCCCTGCTCCCCAATATTGTATTCAATAACACGGTTTTCTTTAGTTTTTAAGGCAAGAAGTCATCAATAAAACTATAAGCTACACCATATTTAAAAAAAAAAAAAAAAAAAAAGACACCCTTGATGGAGACAGGGCAGAGACAGGATACATACCCCACAGAAAAAACAATCAAAAAAGAAAAGAAAAAAAAACCCTAACAGCTAAAAAACGGTGAGGGAGCAAACGGACACCTTTTACACTCAACAGAAAATCTTAACTGATGGGATAGTCTCGTAAGTCCCTGCTCTGCCCTCTCTCTCTTACTTTCCTTTTCTGAATGCTTTGAAGGGAGATGTGGCCAGGCCAGGATACACCAGGATCTGGACCAATAACCATCTCTCAAAGAGCACAAACAAAACTGTGATTACAAAATGGCTCTTTAACAAGCTGACCTGCCAGAGTGGCTTTTGTTTCCTGCATGCATTTCTGCTTGAGAGCAGGGCTCTTGGTGGTGAAGCAGGGGTAATTGTGAAGGGACGAGAGAGAAAGAGATAGAGAGCCAGAGCGAGTGAGAGAGAGAGAGAGAAAGAGAGAGAGAGGGAGGATGGGGATATAAATCAGGAAAGGTTAATGACTGGAATGTGAAGAAGGGGCTTGTTTACAGAAATACTGTGCAATTTAAAATTTACAGGAGATTTAATGCCACTACTTGGCAATCGCTAAAATCAACAGCCCAGAAAACAGTGACATTAAGAAAAATATTACAGTTATAATCATCCCCAAATAAGTCAATTAGTGTTAGGGCACAAGCTCGCCATTACTTGACCCATTGGGCTTGCACTTAAGTGAAAAAGAAATCCCTCCTATTATACCAAGCTCGCTGGATTGTGACCTGCTTTGCATCGTGTATTACCCGCCAGCCTCCTTTCTATACCTGGGTGGATGGCGCTGATTTTCCCTTGCCTGGCATCAAAATAATTCTGACCCTTGACATTTGTAATCATAAAAAAAAAGGCAATTTATAATTGTGTTGTTCAAATGAAGGCATTGGGGGGGGGAATTCAATCTGCTATTATACAAAAGCAATGACGGCTGTCTTTGGTGAAAAAAGCAACCCAAGTCAATTTGTGAACTTTGGCACCAGACGACCTTTAGAAACAAAACAATATACGGAATTTACAAGCAATAGCAGCCCATGCAAATGGCCCGGGCCTGCCTGCCTCTGGATTAGAGCTGCAGAGAGCATTATGGAGAATGCTTCCACAAAACAAATTAAGACTGTTACTTAAATGTCACGGCACACTATTGTATTTGGCTACAGATCATTACACCTGATACTAACACTTTTAAAAACTGTAATAACTTGGGAAATATTACATTGAGTGCCCACATGTATAAAGGAAAGGGGGGGGGAAAGAGGAGAAAATAGGTTTCTAAAGTAATTTAAACATCACTACCCTACGACTGAAGGGAAAGGTCAAAATTTAAGTAAGCTGAAAGGAACATGAATGGTAAAATAGAACACTCGAACAAAAGGATGGAAAGACCACAGGGCCGACTGCAAACACAACACGGGGGCATGCGGCTGCGGGTGGGTGCATTTCCATGTCTGCATGGGAAGGAAGGCAGGAAGGCAGGGAGGCAGGAGCCGGGTGCGGGCGGGCGGGGTGCAGTTACCTTCGGTGTTGGTGCTGCTGCTGCTGTATATGTTTCGCAGGCTACCAACACGGTTTAGTTTCCATGCTTTGCGTTTGGCTGCATCCCGAGAGCAGAGAGGGCAGGGGGGAAAAGAGACAACAAAAAGGAAAAGAAAACAAATGAAAAAGGGAGAAAAGAAATGTCAAAGTAGCGCTGTGAAGTCACCTCTGAGTGCGCAGCAGGTGGGTGGCAGCGAGGAGCCCCTCTGCCGGCCCTCCACTCCCCCCAGGGCTGCAGAGGTGAGAAGGGTAGAGGCGAGCCAGCCTTGCTCCTTAGCAGAGTGCTCACAAAATCAAAGCCATCCCAGGCGAATGTGCAGACACCCTCTGTTGAGCCCAAGGCTACTTGCTGGCAAATGGTGGCCTTTGGACTGTTGTGGGCTATGATGGTCCAGAAGCTAGTCCGAGTGACCCTGGTGGCAAGCAGGTTGGGTCTGTATGTTTCAGAGGCAGGTCTTTTAAAACCAGAGCATTTCTGTCAACTCTTCCTCAACCCCATTTGTGAGATGCATACTAGCCTAGAGCATCAGAACCCTAGGACCAGGTGAGCTCCCACACAGTAGATGCCTCCTCAAACTCGTCAGAAAGGACCAACACCAAGTCACTTCTGGTGGAATGCTGGGGTTAGGAGTAAAATTCTGAGCCAAGCGAACACAGTGCTGCTGTGTACACTGCAGGCATGTGAAAAGACACGCCAAGGACACACATGTTCTCCTTTCCATTTGGCCCCTCTTCTAATGGCTACTGTGGACAGCGACATGCACTCCCCCCCTCCCCAACAAGATACTTGAGGTTTGGAAGAAGATGGTTTGACAATTCCTTCTGCCCTTGAAGATACAAGTCATAGAACTCAACAAGAGTTGACAAGATGTCTCTTGGGAGTCCTAGACAGAGCCATGTCTGTCTTAGCTAGGCCTGTCACTGTAGGCAGACATCAAAATATTCAGCAGGGGTTAAAGTTGCCATGTTTCCAAGGAAGGGCACCATGGGCCATCTGTTTCTCAACTCTACAGTCAGGAAGAGAACCTGCTGGAAGGTTCCCTTAGCTGGTGGAGCACGGGTGGGAGACCAGGCTGACAATCTGACTCTGAGGCATGTGCTGGGCAATGGTCAGCTCTGATGCTGAGGCATCCTGGACCACTCAGGGTAGGTGTCAGGCCCCGGCTAGGCTGTGTGACACTGGATCTCTGAAGGGCAGAAAGTGACCTTGGGAGATGTCTAGGTGAGTTCAGTTGCTGGCTATACCATTGGCCTTCTTTGTAAAGATCAACAAATGACACATGATAAACCTGAATTGTCAAGGAAGCTAAGCCTTACCTATTTAGAATGCAAAGCTTAGTCATGAGGGCAAACATCTGAGTTCACTGCCCATTGACTTAAAATGATTAAAGCTGCTACAATGAAACACCTAAGGCTCACATTGTAATGTGAACACCGATAAGTAATTTGGTAATAAATATAATCCCTAACTAGTAAATAGCTTCAGCTGCTGCCTGGAGTTTTCTGCCTATTGTATCTGGATCACAATTTAACTTTTCACAGTGCGTGTGTGTTGGGGGATGGGGGGATAAGTGGAAGGGTTTTGCTCATCTCTGAACTTTAAGGTCTTGTGTCCATCCCAAGAAACTATACTTGGGAAGGGTGGTTGAGACAACAGCCAGTACTGCTGTCAACTATGAGCAGTGAAGGAAATCCAACTGCTCACAGTTTTCAAGAACAAAAGATTGGGCCCCCTCCCCCACAACGCACACAAGTTACACTGTGTTCCTACAACTGGACACGTGCTTCATTTCTCACTAGGGGATGCTCCCAGAGTCTTGGGGCATATTTCACAAGTTCCAGAAGGAAGAGGTTACTACAAAGCTTCATGGGGAAGGCGACCTCCTTCTAGAACATTTACATATAAATAGGTAGAATTCAGGCTGAGCTCCCAGAAGGGGTAAAGCTCTGTCTGGAAACCTCTTCCTGGTTGCTTTGCATTCTGCATTTTTCATGTGCTATTCTCCCATTACCGTTGGGATGTATAACCAGGAAGTGAACTTACAGCCTGGATTTCTATTAACCTATTGATGAAATAATCAGTTTCAACGTATAAAATGTCATGGCTTCTTCTTCCTTGTAAACAAATGGCTGTTTTCTGGCTGATACCAAGGTCCCGATCTGAGCATTTGTCTCCTGGGGCATTGATTGCTTAAGTCGCCTCGTTTAGTCGCATTTCAACAAGAACTACAATCAGGATCCTGGGTAACATTTCAGGCAAAACAGCCACATGGCACCAAATGGAGACCCCGGGTCTCAGACCTGGCAAGAGGCGTGATGCCTAAGGCCACCATGCTCAAGAGATGATGTTTTCTGTGCATCCCTTATTTATTCTTCCTGAGAGGGTCAGGTGGGTCTCAAACTCCTCCCACTTCAGCCTCAGGCCACAGACATGCAACATTATACTCTACTTGGATAATCTTTAAAATTTGAGGGTGATGTGGGATGTCCTTCTATATACTGCAAATATGTGTTGCTTATATTGGTTGATGAATAAAGCTGTTTATTTGGGCGTACTCGGACTTCATGTAACCCGCCCACATTATGGTTTTCAAAAACTTTCATGAACTTTTTTTTTCTTTTTAAACACAGGCCAGCATTTAGATTTTTTGTTACTAATGTCACTTGTCAGAATTTCATGCACACTTAGACAAAAGGCTTCATGGGGAAAGCATGTGGTTGCTCTTTTCCCCCTATGGCTTTGCTTATGGGATAAGCCCAGGCTTTCATTTGAATTAGAGCAGGTACCTAATGACGCTGCAGCAAGGTCTCCCATCTTAGACATCTGCATGAACATGACATCCCAGAAGATACAATGTCTCTAGATGTGATTTCTCCTTCCCATTTCACTTTACAAATGAAACCCAGTGTGGTAACACACAAGCTATGAGTTCAAAGGCCCCCGTCCAACAACAACAAAGTAAGCACAGTGTACTCAGTTACACACGGGCTTGCTATGGGACAGCAAAAGCAAGAGACAAAGAATAAAGCAAGGTTGACAGCTGAGGACCTAGGGGAGAGAATTAAATGTATCATCACTGTATTGAACAACCAATACCTTTCTCATTGCTGTGGCAAAATATCTGGCACATGTAATGTAATGAAGGGTTTATTTTGGCTTTCAGTTGGAAGGCACACAGTCCATCATGGTGGGGCAGGCATGGGGGCAGGCACTTGAGGCAGCTGGTTACATCATATCCAGTCAGGAAGCAGAGACGAATGGCTGCTGGTGCTCCACTACCTTTCCCCTGGTTTACTCAGCCCAGGACCGCAGTCCATGGATTAGTGTTACTCACAGTTAGGGAGTGCCTTCCTTCCTCAGCTAACCATGTCTTAAGATTCCACTACAGATGCCCCAAGCTGTTTGTCTCCAGGGCGAATGATTCTGTATCATGAAAGCTGATGATCAAGATTACCCAAGATAAGGCTGCAAAGGCTTTTTTTCCCCCCTGAGAATTAAAAGGGCTGGAAATCTGAAAAACTCAGGCTTAAAGTGTGGAGACCCAGTTGTTGACCACGTGTTGATTCAACAATGGTACCATTGGTTTTTCTTTTAAATATACACTGCTTATGAGCACACTAAGCTAGATTGATAGGGCGATTCTTGGGGAATAGGAGATGCCCCACTGGGAAACTGGGAAAGTCAAAAAACACCAGGAAGGGTGAGGTTCTAACACGCTCTGCTGTTTAGTCATTTCTCTAAGGTAGTAGCCACCAGGTTGGTGATGAGGTGGAGGCCACCCTGAACATTCAGATCTATAGAGCCACATGTTCAACTCATGCTCTAAACATGAATGACAGGCATAAACCCCCACCACAGTGTGTCTGTAAAGTGCCTGGGAATGAAGAACTCGGGGTCTGCATGAGCAAATGAGGTATGGCATATTACTCTTGACTCTTGGTAATCACTAACAGACAGCCTCGGTCTTTTCAAAGACAGAGAAGAGAAAAATGTGTAAATGATGGCTCTCTATGAAGTTAGAGTGACTGGAATCACTTAGCATCCACAATTCTCGATTGTTACACACACCGTATTCTTGGAAGCTAGTTTTACATAGGGACTTTTACAACCCTGAGGGACTCAGAACTTCATTTGAAAGTTTCTATCATTCTGTTTCTCTAAGTAAAACAATCATTTCATTTTACCACAGCATGAAAAAGAACCAGAAAGCAGATGTCTGGTGCCGGGACTTTTCACCAGCTCTTTATGAATAGAATAAAAATATTCCTTAGTCTGTGGATATGCTCAAGCCACCAAGGTTTTACCTGAAATTCTTCCTCTGTCACTGCACTAGGAAAATAGAATTGTTAGTATCAACTCTGCTCTGCTTCCAACAGTTGTCTTTGTTGATTAGATAACCATTCCCTGGACAGCCTACTAAAACATGATGTAGCCAGTAGTAGTTATGTCCAGGCTTGCAGGCCATGCTGGATTATCCAGTGTACATGAATTATATCCTGGGCACACACAGAATGGATGATGGGATGAGTCTTCTGCAGCCCTCAGGGTCAATTATGAGAGCTAGCAGGGTCTTTGTACTTACATGGAGGAAGGGGCTGGGCCACTCACTTCTAACAATGTCTCATCTCAGAAGGAAATGAATAACTCTCTTGCTCATACAAGGGAATGTAAACTTTCGCCTTTGAGAGAGCTCAGGCCATCGCCATCACCTTGTCAGACAGAGTGATTTCTTGTCCACAGTGGACATGTGTAAGTCTAAAGATGCTATCAGTATAAGTCCTATCAGTGCAGAGGACAACACCTTTGCTCCTTAGTCTGTGGGCCGTGTCTCAGACCGTGTCAGCAGGGCCTTTATGTGACCATCACCTATCTCCCAGGAGCTTCTGCAGGCAGTGAGTGGTGACACTTCCAGTGCAGTCTGCTCCATATCCCATGATCTTTTGGCTGTGGCAATTGTGTCAGGAGATTAGGGGTGAATCTAAAGGAATTAGGGATGTCTTTTGTCAGGCTGTGTGATCCATCATTCATTTGCTCAGTCAGACTGTAAATATTTACTT